CAAATCAACTCATTTTCCTCAAATTTAAGGAAAATGACTTTCCTTCAAAACTTAAGGAAAACATTTTCCAAAACTCTCTTCCAACTTCAAATTACAATTTTTTTTTGTTGAAAAAATCAATTTATTTTGTCCCTACACTCAAACCACCTCCAAAATAAAAATAAAAATTTAAAGCTTGTTTTTAAATTCAATTTTTTTACCCCACCCTCACCCCTACCCCCACCCCTTCCAAAAAAATATTAAAAAATGTTTTTAAAAGATATTTTCTAATTTCAATTTTTTATTTTTACCCCCCACCCACTACCCTCCCCCCTATTAGCGCCCCAACCCCCTTTAAAAAGAAAAAAAATTTAAGTTTGTTTTTTAAAAATATTTTCAACTGTAAATTTTAATTTTTTCATCCCGATCCTCGATCACCCACACCCATCCACCTATCCCCCACCCCCCACCTCCACCCCCCAAAAAAATTGAGTTTGTTTTTAAAAAATATTTTCAATATTTTATTTTTTCACACCTCACTCGACCCCCCCCCCCAAACCCACCCACCCCCTACTCGCCACCCCTACCCCAAAAAAAAAATTAAGTTTGTTCTTAAAAAATATTTTCAACTTCAAAATTTCATTTTTTTTCACTCTGCCCTCGACCCCCCCCCCCCCCCCACCCACCCCACCCCACCCCAAAAAAAAATTTAAAGTTTGTTTTTAAAAAATATTTTTAACTTCAAAATTTCATTTTTTTCACCCTATCCTTGACCCCCCTACCCACCTCCTACCCAGCCCCCCCACCCCAAAAAAAAAAATTAAATTTGTTTTTAAAAAATATTTTCAATTTCAAAATTTCACTTTTTCACCCCTACCCTCGCCCCCCACCCACCCACCCCCTACCATCCCTCCACCCCCCTCTCCCACAAAAAAAAATTTAAGTTTGTTTTTAAAAAATACTTTCAATTTCAAAATTTCATTTTTTCACCCCTATCCTCAACCCACCCACGCCCTACCACCTCCCCACCCTCAAAAAAATTAATTTAAATTTGTTTTTAAAAAATATTTTCAATTCCAAAATTTCATTTTTTCACCCCTACCCTCGACCCCCACCCACCCACCCCCTACCACCCCCCCCCCAAAAAAAACATATTTAAGTTTGTTTTTAAAAAATACTTTCAATTTCAAAATTTCATTTTTTCACCCCTACCCTCGATCCCCCACCTACCTACCACCCCCACTCCCCACCCCCAAAAAATAATTTTATGTTCGTTTTTCAAAAATATTTTCAATTTCAAATTTCATTTTTCACCTCTCCCCTCCACTCCCCCAAAAAAAATTTAAGTTTATTTTTAAAAAATATTTTCAACTTCAAAATTTTATTTTTTCACCTCGACCCCCCCCCCCCTACTCACCCCCCTACCATCCCCCCACCCCACCCACTCCCCCCAAAAAAAATCAAGTTTGTTTTTAAAAAAATATTTTCAACTTCAAAATTTCAATTTTTCACCCCTACCCTCAACCCCCTCCCCCCCCCCCCCCCCCCCCCGCCCTCCTTCACCCAAAAAAAAAATTAAGTTTGTTTTTAAAAACTATTTTCAATTTCAAAAAATTATTTTCTACTCTAGTAAAAATAAAAGATATTTCTCAAAAATATTTTTCATTCCTAAATCAAATACTAAAAATCTTTTGCGGAAAATATTTTCTACTCACCAACCAAACATGAGAAAATAAGTCAAAAATCAACTTGTTTTCCAGGAAAACATTTTCCTTCATACCAAACACACCCTATATTTGCAATTTGAAAATAATAATATATTATATTTATATATGTATATCACAAGTAAAATATAAAACACAATACTTAAAGGTATATCAATTATAGATGTCCAAACATAAAAAATAAACTAAATCATAATGAAGGACAATAACTAAAAAGGGACAAAATGGTTAACTCCAATTTAATTCTCTCTCTCTATAAATATATATATATATATATATATATATATATATTATTATTTTTATTTTTTTTTATTTTCATTTTTCTAAATCCGAAATCAAACCAAAAAATTAAACAAAGTAAATTATTAATCCAAATTAGAATTCAGTTTGTTGGTTTTTCAGTTTAATCCAAGTAGTGCACACCCCTACTTCAAACGTAAGATCATTTACTAACTGTGTCTGTATTTGCAAAATGATATACCTGAGATTGGGCCTAACTATACAATGTCACAACGATAAAAACCCGGGCGACTTATGGGCTCATTCAAGTTTGAATTTTAGGTCATACTTCAATTGAGCCCAACAAAACTTGTATCATTTTGTTCAAATAATGCTTTGATCATTTGCAATTACAATTTTTGCAACTCTTTGATCTCTATAACCAAAACTTTGTCTAAATCTTGAAACTATTGAGGGCTGCGTGCTTTTTCTATGGAAAGCTCGAGATTCTTTAAATTTGTGAATTTCTAATTATCACACGCACTTGGTGCACTTAACTTTCTTCAAAATTCACCGATGTCCCAATCTGATATATTGACATTCCTTCTTGTTGGCCTGCCGTCGGAGTATGCATGCTTTGTCACTACGATGAAGCTTCTTATTTTACCATAATCTCTAAAAATTTCTACTATTTAAAATAGTGATAAAATCTTGTCTCTGATACATCCTCCATTAAGTGATATATCATTTGTAATCCGTGAGCTATGTATCCACATATTTCTTAATGTATTCAAGATTCTAGAAATTTATGGATTTTTTGTAATTTAGGAAATAATATAGATAAAATGTAATTAGCTCATAACACTATGAGATTTATATAATTTTTACATTTATATATTCAGTTTCATTCGGAGCCTCTTCAGTCATGGAATATGTTTTAATTGTATACATTTGAATTTTATTGAATTTAAGTTGGTACTAAAATAATTAACTATATTTTAAATTCAAGATATTTGAAACACCACGATGGATGAACTTATTGAGTATGACTTATAACTTATGAGCTAAAGAATTAAAGTTAGGTTTTCCAACTTATATTTTTCAACTTAAAAACAAATGTGTAAACACACTTTTCAATCCTATCTAAACATTTTGAAAGTTATTTAAACTTAAAAATACCTAAAATAAGTAGGGATAGCAATGGGGCGAGGCGGATGCGGGGCGGGGCGGATTGCGGTTGTATGTAATTTATATGGGTTCAAATTTAATTTTAACTTTTTGCATGTTATAAGAGTGATAGAGCATTATTTATTAAGATAATTTCATTAAAGCTACTAAAATATTCAAGATAATAAATGAAAATGGTTCAATATAAAATAATACAATTTCTTACATGTTTCCTAATTGACCTCGAAAAAATAAAATTTTAAGTCACTATCCTATTAAATTAATACAACTTAATGAAAAAATGAGAAAAAAAATTATGAATTTTTTTTTTAGTATCAAACATAACTAGAAAAAAAAATATTAAAAAAATTATGCGGAGCGGATTCATGCAGGGCGAATTTATGCGGAGCAGGTTGAAAGTGAAAAGAGTTGCTATGCGGGGCGAAGCAGAATGGATTAAAAATTTACGGATTAAGCTCAATCCGCACTCCCCTTCCCCGCCCTACACCGCCCATTGCCATCCCCAAAAATAAGTCTATTCAAACGGTATCGGAAACCGCCAGAGCATTGTGTCTATCTAAAGTAAATGAAGATGCTAAAGATGCCTTTGGAAAGAAGAAGTGATTAAAACAATGTACACTTTATTATGGAGTACAAAAGAGGAATGTGTGGAAGGGATGAGACTCTAAAGGAAGATTTGTACTAAGCCACGTTACCTATATTACGACCACAAGTACCTTATACCTTTTTCATTTTTAAAATTTAAACTCATGGATCAATGAAACCATACTATAAAATATAAATAATGTATATTTTCAGATGACGTAACGTGTCACTAACATTACCTTTCCAAATGCTTAAGTTACAGTACTATTATATTGGATCAATAAGATTTGAAAGGCATATATCGAAATATGATCCTTTATTTTATATAAGTAAAAAGAAAGACATAATGACATAAACTTTTAGCTGAAGTGAAACATAAATAGAGCATTGTTATCATTTACCTTTTTTACTTATACCTAATTAAATAAATGAGGTTTGCTTGTCCTAATTAAAGTTTATATAGAGATTGTTCACTAGAATGTACATACATACATTTTGGGTATTGGCTGGCTATTTAACTAAAGAGATAGTACATAAATTGATCATTCTGGCCTTCGTAGTCGTGTTATAAGAACGATCTTTATCTAAAGCATACGGATAAGTAAGTAAAAAAAATTATTTATAATCTAACAAAACACTATGTGGATGAGATGGGATAGGGAGCGTGGGTCGGGATGGTCAAGGGGTGGGGATTGAGGATGTTGGGCGGGTGAGGTTCAAAGACAATGAACTTGGAGAACTTCACTATAACAAAAAACAACTTTTAACGATAATAAATATGTATATTAATAAAGAGTGCTAAAGTCTTTATCGTCAGTAGTTAATTATCATTAGATACAATATAACTAGCTATAAGCTTTAACAACATTTCCAAAGAGTGCTAAAATGCAATCGTCACTAGTAATAATTACCTTTAAAAATATATATTTACAGCAATTGAGCTTTTACCGTTCCATCTTTTCATTAGAGAAGTTATTTTCCTCATTTTTATCGAGTCTGTTTTTCTTTGACGAGAAACTTCCAAAATTAAAGTGATGGGTGGAACAACACAAAATCATTCTAAACTCCTAAACCCTTGTCATCTAATACTCCTACAAGCTCGATAATGTATATATTAATTTATACCAGTTATTATAATATAAACTTATCAAGTGATCAATCGATTAATAAATAGTTACTATAATTAACTGGAAAACCCAAGAGTCGAACTTCAATCATCATGCAGGAAATTATAAACCTTGTCCTTGAACAAGTACTAAAACAGCTAGCTAGATAATTTAGCACGTGCCCAAAATATAGAAAACATTATAACTTGGTTGGTTGCTAGGTAGCAGCTGCACCCACAAACTGCTTCAATTTCTCTGAGATAATCTTTGCTGCAGCTCCGTATCCTGACGACGACGTTGCACTTTCTCCCACCTAACCATACATTACCAAACAAACACATCAATCCACAAACTTAATACGCTGAGACAGATTCAGAATTTAAACGTATGCTCTTAATTACCTTAGAATGTATGGAATGGAAGATGGTGTCACCCACAAGAGTATAATTTGCATTAATAACTTGTACGCCGTCTTCATGAAGCATACGTATGATATGGTTGAACATGAAGTGATAATCTAAACCAGTAATTAGAAGAACTTCTAGAGCTGCATTCACACTGTGAATTTCAATATGTGGCAATGGCAATGTATTTTCCAATATTCTCCCATTAGTATTACTGCTTAAATTTGAATTTAAAGTACCAACAGCTGCTGTTAAGCTTTCTTTTTTGAGTCTCATTTTCTCCAAATCTATCTGCAGTTTCTTTATGTAATTCGCGGCTTCTTCCAGTTGATCCGGCAGTGACAAAAATTCCTGCAAATTAAACCACAGATAACTAACTACCTTAACATTTTGTTAAGGATTCAGAGGCGGATCCAGGATTTAATTTGAAGATTACGAGTGCCACACTAATTTGAAAGTTGACGTGTTAGTACTATTTTATATGACATTTGATTGGTATGATCAACTTTGGGATTCAAATTTGTTTTTGTTTTTTCAGTTTATTATATAGATAAACAGAGAAATAATCTTTATAACAAGCAAACAAATGGACAAATTCAATACCAAATATATATATAAAGTTTGAAAATAATGCATATTAGTTTTGTTAAAGAAGCATGTTAGTACTGCAGTTTCATATATTTGATTTGTATCAAAAAAGGAAACATGACTTATAAAGATTTATCATTCTAACAATTAGTCTTGTTTATTCGATAAGTAATATGATTTGGATGTCTAGCTAGTAGATCTCAATATATGAACTTGAACAATCACCAAATCGTTAGTGTGGATGCCCAGTAGCTTCTCTTTCAGCTTCTTAATCGTGTGGGGCCTTTCCCTCTCTTCCTTTTTTTGAAGGTAACCGTCCTGTCAAATTGATCTTTCGGGAAGAGGATATCGAATTGGATAGTGGTGGAGTCAGAAATTTGGCGAAGGGTGGTCAACATACCCTTCTCTGGAAAATTATGTGGTGTACAGTGATTAAATGTTGACTATTATGAATGTGTTATTAATTTGCACACCCTAACATGACCGATAAGAAAATTTGTACACCCTTCACCAAATTTCTGGCTCTGCCTCGTGAGTTAGATAAAACGACGATAAATAACATATATAGGAGATCGAATAGTACTATTAAATTAGTAGAAAGATGAAAAAAGAAGAACCTTAGAATGTTGATCATGATGCACAAGTGAATTGAGCTTCATATATAGATCCTTCATTTGATTTCTTCTGTTTTTCTCAATTGTCTTTCTATCAGCTGCTTTACATGATGATGATGAACTAGGTTTGTTACAACAGTACTGCTGCTCCATCTCTCCAACAAACTTGGAAAATAACAAGATCGATCGTCCCTCTATTAAATCGATAACGAAATTAATTCAATAGCGCTATACTATACTATATATAATAATTTGTTGGAGATCTGAAACAGAGAAAAGAGGAATCTAAAGTTGAGTAATAAGTTGAAAGTGAAAGGCAATAAGTGCAGGAGAATACACCAAGATATGATTGTGTTAAGATAAAAATAAAAGATGATAGAATTGTATGGTAGGGTTGTCAGTATTTATCATTTTTGGTCCCACATGGGGCTATTTTGTTGACCATATTTGCAATAATGGGAAAGCATCCAACACAGTACTGTGCCAATATCTGCCTGGATATAAAATTGGTTTATATTGTATTATTTTTTTCTACATTTTTAACAATATTTTATGTTTAACGAGTAATTAAATAAAGACTTCTAAGTCAACTTAAAAGGAATGAGTCATTTTGGTTCAGAATATATCAGACTTCCTTGTATATATTGTACGGAAAAATAAAAAAAAGTAACACAAGTCGTGGTTTGATTATCTTGGAATATAATTGATTTGATTTTCAGTATAGTCCGATATTTTCATTTTTCGTGGACATTCTTTAAATTTACAATATTTAAGTTTTATGTATTAATATTGTAAAAGTATTTACATAGGTCAATGAAAATAAATGTATTATTTCAAGATTTCAGATCCATTGTGTTAGGAAGGTCATCAAAAAATAGTAAATGCAGAAAACTTACTTGTGTCGCCTAGCTTAGGTGAAAGCATGCAACTAATAAGTATTTTATTCGTCAGATATTAGATACACATTTTATTAAAAATATTTGTTTCATATTGCTTGATTATTGTCTAAATCAGCATAGAGTTAATTATTTTTCTTCAACTTGTCCTACAATTAATATGACTTTTGGAAGTTAAACAAATTTTGAACATCCAATATTTTTTTCAAGCTCCTAATTAATATGAACATGCAAAATATATAGTACAGTTGATCGATTTACCAATGATTTTTAATTACCATGTAAAATAGAAAATGTCCATCTAATATAAGATAATGGAATACATTTATCAACCATATGTTTTTATAACCTGCGGTGTGAACAAAATAAATTAAATATATTTTCTCCGTCCTATATTACATTATCATCTTATTAAAAATACATGTCACAAATTACTTGATCAACATATACATGTTCCAAATCCGAATTTAGGAAGGCATAAGGGGCGACACCAAATACATGTCACCTTTTAAAATGAGAAACAATAAATAAATAATATAGCATCATATTTTTGACGAAATAGTGTTATGTGACACCTCTTAACTCTTCCCTTTTTTTTTTGATGACAAGGGAAATTCGCAGCCGCTACCCTTTGGGTGCGCACAGGGTAAAACTCCCGCTCCTATGCAATAGCTCGCAGACCACATAGGAGAGGTAACCCGCACTAGGCAAGCCTGGTGCAATGAGCTCGACCCAGAAGGCAAAACCCTTGCTTTCGCTGGCAAGGAATTTCAAACTTGAGACCTCCAACATGGAAGTCCAAGCTCAAACCACTGGGCCACCCCAAGGGTCTTTTTAACTCTTCCTAAATCCATCAATGGATGTTCTCGTGTATGCCAATATGAATAAAGAGTAACAGAGTAACATAGTAAAAGTAAACATCTTATTTATAATTTCTTAAGCATGGTATAAAACCAAACAAAAAAATGTACACCTTATGTAGCTGTCTCTACAAAAATGAGGGAACATGATATTAGGTGGCGTCATCACTCATGTCGAAAATTAATATTAATTCACATACTTTTATTTTTTTTAGGTTTCTCTAATTTGCAACGTACACTTACTATTTCATAAGTGTTTATTGAATACTTCGTTTCTTGCATTATTACAATCTTTGAAGCAAGTTCTCTTCTTTTTTTATTTTTTTTATTTGGTAAAACAATGCCAGTAATTAATTAAAAATGTTCTAGCTATAGCTAATTGAAATATATTTTCACTTCAATTATATCACACAACTTTATATTTTATCATAATATAATATAAATATCACGTATCGGTTCTTGTTTTTTCTTCTAATCCATGGGCCGACCCCCTTTTGCCCTCCTCCCCTAAAAAAGAATCCTATACAGACTATTGGTTACTAGAACTATATAATTCTTTTGTTTTAATTTATATGACTTACTTTTTTTTTAGTGAGTTCTGAAAAAAATAACATATTTTTATATTTAGTAATAATTTAATTTTAAAATAATTTATAACTACACAAATAAACACGATCAAGTTAAATTAATTAATTATATAAATTGGAACGAAGCGAGCATGATTGGTGATCTCACTCGGATTACGTAATGGAATGGCGTGTCAACTGATTATATCATCAACCATTACACAAAGGATCTTGGAAAGTGTGCTAGCTTAAGACACGACTTGCGAAGAAAATTAAAGTGCACCAACATTATATTAATGTGAACAAGATCTAATATTACTAGTTTATTTGGATTCGAAATTAATCAACTTAACAGACTAAATTAAATTAATCCTTGACGAAACTTTTTCCATGGAGGGAAAAGGGAGGAAATAATATAACTTTCAAGTTTGGATGATTGTGATTTTTTTGGAGTGTGTGTGGGAAAAGGATAATATAAGATATGAACACGTTAGTGGGTAGCAAAAAAGTAGAGAGAAATCCTTCATCCACCCTTTGTTCTAAGATTTTCGACTTTATTAGTGAATATATATTGTATATACATTTATTATACATTGACATCAGGCATCAAGTGTACGATCTAGTAATGATACTTAATAAAGTTGATGACAATTATGAGGTCTTTAAGTTAAATATTAGTAGAACATATATGTCCAAGTTAGTGGACAAAATTATCCCACATCCTTCTAATACGTACAAAAATTACAAATATCTCATTTACGTGTAAATAGCCGAAATATTATTTCTTTTCATTTCTCTCACTCAAGGGTGCCGTACAAAGTTTATTACTTTTAATTTCTTTCAACAAGATGCTACACAAAGTTTAGACATCAATGACAATGAAGGTCTCAGGCGCATAAATAAAAGCTAGATTCCACAATAGATAGATATGGTAACCACAAAGTTTTCCAAATTTAAGTCTTGCTCTTTTAACCTCACCACCACCACCACCTCAATAGGGAAGGCCAATCCTAAGAGTTGTTTGGTGTAATATAAGATATAAGATATAATAATTTCAAGGATAAAATATAGAATTATTTTATTTTATATTTAGTTGGAGATATTAGATAATTTTTAAATTATTCATTCAATCATTTATATTACTGTGATATGATATGTTATTCCATATATATGGTGAGATATCTTACATCATGATAACTTATTCTAGAATAATTAATTCCAGGCTAACTTGGATGCTGGACCTGTTAAAATATAGCTTTATAATGTTACTTTTAAGGGTTGGTGAAAACAAACAAGTACTCATGACTACAATATATGTTTATAGCAATATACACTAAAACCTCATTGAATCAATATAGATAGGACTATAAAATATTAGTATTTCGTAGAGATATTATTTAATTGATAAATTAATATTATTAATTTAAAGAGTGTTTTGACAACGCAAAATTTGTTCGGTGATTAAATCTCAGAGAATTTAAATGAATCCACTTGATGAAAACGTCATTCATGCACTTGAGGTCATGATTAATAATCTCGGTTATCGCAATAAAATGGACGTTAATAACCTATTGAATGGATGAAAATGGTACATGTTAAGATGTCCAGAGCTTAGAAGAAATTGTGGATACCATTGAAAAAAATAAAGTTGATGATAAAGTTGAAGATTATACAATACCTTTTGAATCAGTTACGCGTAAGGACACATTTAGAGCTCATCACAGTTTTATGGTGCAATTCAAAAACATATTACCGAAACTTTTGGATGCAATAAGAAAAGTTAGAGATGAGCTTCAACAAGATTTCAATTTTAACAAAAAACAAAATCCAATTAAATCATATTTCACTAATTGTCTTACATGTATTTGTACTTTAAAGAATTATTAATTTTATAATATTAATGGGACCATATATTTATACAGGGGTTTTCTAAAAATATATTATCTTATTATTATATTGAAATGTGTGATTTTTTTCATTGACCCAAGTCGGGACCGGAGGAAAATATTATCTTAAAGATGTTATTAATTAATCGAATATTAACTTAGTGATGTTTTAGTGTACATCACGTGAAAAATATACACATGTACATAATTGAAATTTGTTTTCCAACTCTGTGAAAGTGAAACCCTCTTGTGATATTTTTGGTACTTGTTTTGTCCTTTCTTAATTTGTTCGTTTAATGAATAAGCATGTCGTATGTTTATTTTATTTTTTCCAGTAGTTGTATATAAGTTTCGAGAAAGATTAAAATATAAAAGACCAAACATGTGAGTAGAAGAAATATTTATGTTTACATAATGTTTAAAATATATGGACATCAACTATTGTTGAGATATCGATGATTGTTATGTATTGTTTCATAATGTATTACTATTGTGTATAAAATATTGCGTTGTATTGTATCAAATCATATTGTTATAATGAATATAATGTTTAGATAGATTGTATCTGTCTCCGTCATTACAGAGTATAATTTCACACATCAACAATATTAAGGATAAACTACAAGAAAAAGTATGGTATGTGCAAGGTTTAAAGCTATTACTCCCTCCGTCCCATTTGATGGCACTTTTCGGATTTCGAGATTCAAATAAGTTTAATTTTGATCGTAATTTTTTCATAGATCTTTTAAACATTTTGAATTATCAAATATTGTGACTTATAGTACTTTTTACGTAGTTTACAAATATATAAATTTCATTTCAAAAAAATTGAAGATTTCATGCGCAAATTCCCGGTCAAACTTAAACTGTTTGACTCTCTAAAAACGAAAAGTGTCACATAAATTGGGACAGAGGGAGTATAAAAAGGCAAGGTAAAAAATAAAATAAGATTATTAATTAAGAATTAAATTAATAAAAGTAATAAGGTAACAACACGATCACACCAAATC